CGTGATAGGTGAAGGTTCTTCCATCATGCATATGGTAGAAGCGCGTTTGCCGATCTGTTAGGGGAACCACTCGTGCCATTGTGTCTTGGGGCTCACTCTTTTGCAGTGAGTTGAGCATTAGACTTGTAGCCAACAGATAAAGGCCTGGATTCTCGGGTGGTGAAACACCCGGAATTGGGTATGGGTGGCGGATGATGGCTAATTAGCCAGAAATGGCCATTACAGTCGCCACTGTCTTTTTCGATGTCATTCTGCCTATACCATTAGCCGCTGTGTGGCTGCCGGCAGGGGTTGAAAATGAGTCCAAAGGTAAGACTGGACAAGTAAGTCTCTTGGGCGATCAGTATGCGCATATCTACCTTATAGATATTCACCCAGGAAGGGACGCACACCGATTCACGAAGCAGGTGGCGAGGCGCCGATAAACTTGGTTTCGGCGAAAAGTGCTTATGACCCACCTGGTAGACCCCGCGGCGAAATATCTGTGCCATGCGTGTGCGTATAAATTTTTGTTTCCCGGTGGTCAGAGTTAGGCTTGGCTGAATGAAGCCAAATAGGCTCGGAACGGTGTTTCATAAAGTTAGTCCAAACTCGGCTTGTACATATACAGCACGGCCTAGCATTCGTGTAACATGTCGACATATAGGAAAGCTTAATACCCTTTTGCTAATCGACATTGAATAAGGTTGCAATACTGATTATCGTGTAGTCTCTTCTGGAGTCATTTCAGCCACGATAGGAGGCCGGACCACTAAAAAAGCATTTACTTTAAAAAATGGCTACTTATGTAGTATGCGTTGTTGTTATTAATTTTGACTGCCTTTATAAATGTAAATATATTTTATTGAAAAAATAAACGAAAAAATATTTATTGTACTCATTTTGTAGAAAACTATGTCTTCTTTAAATTGTATGCTCAAAAAAGGGTATCTTACGGTTCTAAAAAGGTTTCTAATTATGAGCTTCTTTACAATTATGGGGTATTTATTCATAAAAACCCATCTGTCAATTTGTCAATGCTGCCTATAATGTATGCAGCACGTTCCACATCCGTTGCAACATTTTATGAGAACTATGTAAGTTCTCCCTCGAACCGTAGGCGAAAACTTACTTCCCCTTAATCAGGATGTACACAGCGCGCAGTTGGTAATCCTTGAATTCAATTGTAGAAATCAGTCGTTTTAAAAATTATTCTGAAATTTGTAAATCTTTTTTTTTATCAAAAGCCACACTTTTTTAAGCGTAATATGAAAAGAAGACATAATTAGCTACCAAACGAGTACAAGAAATAATTTTTTTCGTGCATGTTTGCCATAAAATATATTTGAATTTATACTGGCAGTCAAAATCATTGACAAAAACGTATACTACTTAAGCTGTCACTTTTTTAAGTACATGCGTTTTGTTAGTGGTTATAAGGAAGTTCGATAAAAAGCCGGCATCATATTGTCACTGAAATGACTTCAGAATAGACTACACAATTAGCAATCGATTAGCGAAATAGTATCAATCTTTCGCATATGTCGTCATGTTTCACGAATTCTAGGCCGTGCTGTATATATTGCTGCACAACTGCTCACTGATCGGGTAATTTGGCGTGCTATTTGATGGACTACACTCAACAGGAGTTAAATTTTTAACAAAACTAACCCCGCAGTTTCCAAGGCGTCTCGAGAGAGCTTCACGATATGTTCTACGATGTCCAACGGTAGAGAGTACAGGAGTTGGCGCAGCTGAAGAAAAACATCAAAGTAGAGTTGGGCTGGTGCAGAGACATGTGCAATGCATAGGAAAATAAAGTCACCTGGGACGTGCCGCAGGCATCTGTTAACCATTCCAAGCGGTTCAAATAAAGTTTTTGAGGTTTCATTATCATCAGAGCCAGGCATCGCCAGACGGGAGAATTCGAAGCAAAGAGCGAAGCCGCGTCAGTGGCTGACTGACGGAACGACGCTGCAAGAAAGCTAACGACTGTGTTCCAGAAGATTGAGCAGGAGCTGTACAAAGAAGGCGAATAAGATACACTTAACAGATAGAAGCTGAGGGCACAATGAAGTCACCGGTAAAGCGGTGCAAAGCTCACCTCGCCTGAACTAGATTGTTCAGTGCCGGCGACGTGGGCGCAGTTTCGCAAATTGCATTAAGAGTGTCAAGAATTTGTGATCCAGTACCCTGCAAAATACACTGAACAGCATTCCCGGGGAGTAAACCGGCGTTCAGCAACCACGAAAAACCGTCCAGAAACGCCACCAACACGGTTAGACGCGAGTCAAAGTCCTCCAAGTCGAACCTAAACGTAGGTTAGTGGGCTGGTTAAGGTAAACCAAGTTTCCTACATTGAGCACAGGTAGGCTGGGTCACCGTGTCGCCTAAGAAAGGCCTCTAGGAGTCTGCCGGCGGGCCGTGAAACCCCAGCCGCCTTCGATGCCACTTCTAGGTCCTGTCCGAAGCTGGTCAACAAGTTCTCTGTTAGGCTCCGTAACACGCCTCGAACTCTGCCCGGCACCGGTGTTGTCCCACAAGAAGAGAAGGCTGTTAGGCGAATCAGATGATTAGGAGTGCTAGGCGCACGCAAGCAGGCACGCAGGAGGACATCCAGGAGGTCGAAGAATGAGGCAGATTGCCAGGAGGGTGGCTTCCGGCAGAACTCCAGGGGACTGGTTT